TATCGTATCGTGGGATGTATGGTGATTCCCACCTCTACTGTATGTCCTGTATCACCCTGACAACTTTAGATCCTGAAGACATTTTTTTGGAAGTTGAGCCTGGTGTTTCAGATTTGGTTGATTTTCTTTTTTCTTTTTTACACTGAATAAGCCTTTTACACATGACTGTAAAGTAATAATATAGCTGTAGTGGTTCTAATTTTAATATCTGAACAGGGAGCTTTTGGTTTGATGCTTTTTAAATGAGACCTGTGACTGCCGCTGTCACCACAAGCCTGGTAAAATAACCCAGATTGTTCTCTGCCTTTTAATCTCAGGAGCCCCTCAGAGGGAGGTCTACTTCATGGGCCTGATTGACGTGCTCACGCAGTACGACACCAAGAAGAAAGCCGCTCATGCAGCAAAAACTGTCAAACACGGGGTGAGTAGCACAAGAGAGGCGGAGGGCTGCTGTCAGCCGCTCGGAACACTCTGCTGTACCCGTACGGAGGTCGAGAAATTTACAGATGAAGCTGGTCGCTTAGATTATTGTAATTCCTTGTTTACTTGCCTGAAATGACTGCAGGGTGTTCAGAATGCTGCTGCTAGGCTGTTGACAAAGTATCCCAAATACTCCCACGACGCTCCCCTGCTGATCCAACTGCATTGTCTCCCTGTTAAGTTCAGGGTCCATTTTAAGATTATAATGATGACCTATAGGGCCCTGCACAGTGTAGCTTACATCAGTGATCTTCTTCTTCCTTATCGCCCCACCAGGTCCCTGAGGTCTTGTGACCAGGGCTTGCTGGTTGTCCAGCATACAAGGTTAAAAACTAAAGGTGACAGAGCGTTTGTATCAGTGGCTCCCAGACTCTGGAACTCGCTCCCTTTGAGTTTGAGATCTGTGGACTCAGTCATTTCTTTTAAAAACGTATCTGTTTAAACTTGCTTTTGGTTGATTTTGTTTGTTGGAGGTTGTATGTCCGTTTCTGCTTCGGTGAAGCCCTTTGTGATTTTTATCTTGAAAGGTGCTATATAAATTAAATGTTACTTTACTTACTTACTGACAATGTTATCTATTTATTTGTTCCCCCCTTCTCTCTCTGTGTTCCAGGCTGGTGCTGAAATCTCCACAGTCCACCCCGAGCAATACGCCAAAAGGTTTCGTGATTTCATCTCAAACATATTTGCGTAACACTGCCACAGGTCGATCCAATTGAGAGCTAAAAGTCTTCTACTATAGACTAAAAGTAGTATGCACACACACAGGTCATTCTTTAGAGTTGATGATCTGAGGCAAGACTTAAGTTGTAGCAATATAATATACTACTTCTGATGCATATATTTATTTTTAAGATGTATTTCTGTAGATGTTAACACTTAATGAATTAACTCTGGAGCAATAGGGTACCTGCTGTTGATCAGTGTTGAAAGTGTTAAACTGCATCTGTGTAAGTTCAGATATTATGTCTCTTTCCTCGGCTTTACTTTGGTTTTCCAGCTGTGAACTTAACTTAGATTGATTCAACTTTTGCTTTTGCAGAGGATTAGATGAGAACACTAATTTCATGTGTGAAATAAATATGAG